TGTCGGTTCCGAATCCTCCCTGTTAATCAGTCCAGTTCTGCATATTCCATTAATTTCACTCTCCAGTCTTCTATCGTAGGCGTTTCTTCTTGTTTCCACTTTTGGGCCATCAAGATTCTAACGAATTATGTTCTTAACCCAAGGTACCACTGTTCTCAAACTTAATCTGTTCCGGAAGTCTGATCCAAAACCAAAGCGTTCCAAAACCAAGGTGCGCTTTCCCATAGAAAGTAATAAAAAATACATTAATCCGTTCCAGACTTTTAAAAACAACCCCTAAAACAGCAACTTAACATGAATTTTACTATCTAATGAGACCATTGATCCAAAAAATGAAAGCAATAAACAATGTACTGCAGCCACACAATCAATCAATCAATCAATCAATCAATTAGTAGCTGAACACAGTCACAAAAAAAAGAGAGCTGCAAAAACAAAAAGCAAAAACAGACAGACCTCAGCATAACACTCAAAATGGAAGTGTGGCACTCAAACTCAATGTTCACAAACCGGAACACTTACTTCCAGGTTTGCAGTGTTTGGGTTCCAAGTTGTTTGAGTACCAAGGTGTTTGAGAACCAAGGTACCACTGTACAGTCAAACTGAGCAGGATTTAAACCTCATCCAGCAGTTGGTGCGTGGGGATTAAATCCTGCTCACTTCGGCAGGATTCCATGCAACCCCCTCCCTAATTTAGATAGAGATTTGCATGGAAACCTCTGCTAAAATAAAGAGGGGAACCCGCCATTTTAGGAGGAGATTCCAACGCAAACCTCTTCTTTGTGTGTGGTGGGGTATTCATTATATTTGAGGATTCTGGTACAAAGCTCGTTCCTGATTTAGGAAGGGGTTTGCATGCAGAGGCAGAGCAGACCAGTTAGGAGAGCACTGGGCATGAAGCATTGGAGCACCACAGGGGATGCCACAACTATTATTTAGAATGGAGCGTGAAAAGTGGGGGTGCCAAATTTTGGAGTCACACAGGGCACACCTGAAATTTAAGGCCTCGTGGTGTGCCACTGTTGTATCAAGTCCTCTGCTAAAATGGAGGACAAAAAACAACCCCCTTTGTTTTAGCAGCACCTTGCAATGTGCTTTGCTGTCCCAACTTTGGGGCGTCAAAGCACCTCACATTGGATGCCTCTGTGATGCCAGCCCCCCCCCCAAATAAGGCCTGTGCTTGCTATACTGATAAGGATCTGACCTGTGAAGCCAAAAAGGTTCCTTACCCCTAGGGTAGACAAACACTTCTCATTATCTGGGTAGATAATTTTGTGGTTCATAGTGCAAAGCTATCTTCACAGGTCCCCAGGGATGGAAGTGAGACCATTCCACAGAAATCAGTGAGGGGTCTTGTCATCTGGGCACCCCAGGACCTCCATACACACTCTCCAGGCTTGCACCCCAGGGATGTCACTTTGGTGCTGCTAACACAGAAGTTTGACTTCACCCCTGGAAGCCCACTCCATTGTCTTTTGAGGCAAACAGATGTCAACCAAGTTATATGAGAATGTGGACTGGCACATACATTTATTGTCTATTTGAATATAAATGTGATGTTTGCTCAACTTCTCAATCCAGAGAATGACACATGTACGGAAGCTGTTTGCATGCATGTAGGACAATTTACATAAGACAGATATATTGCTTGTATAGATGCCTTGATATGAGTAAGCCTTGCCTATAAAAACTCAGCCGTTCTTTCCGCAACAAAACCAAGTTAAGAAAATGTGAGAATTATCATTAACACCCAGAGATATTTTTATAGTTGATTAAAAAAAGAGAGCAATGCAATTTTTGTCATTTTGTTTTTGAAGTACATATTTTGATTTGACACTTCTAACATTTTTATTTGCAGAAAATTGTCAGCCACATCAAATAAAGCAGAACATGTTAATTCCACTGCCTTTGGTTACCAAATGTTACCAAAGAGGGCGCCCAGCCACTCTGGGCTGCTTACAGCACATATAAAAACATAGTAAAACATCAAACATTAAAACCTTCCCAATACAGGGCTGCCTTCAGATGTCTTCTAAAAGTTTTGTAGTTCTTTATCTCCTTGACATCTAATAGGAGGGCATTTCACAAGGAGGGTGCCACTACCGAGAAGGCCCTCTGCCTGGTTCCTGCTAACTTCACTTCTTGCAACGAGGGAACCGCCAGAAGGCCCTTGGTGCTGGACCTCAGTGTCTGGGCTGAACGATGGGGGTGGAGAAGCTCCTTCAGTTATACAGGGCCAAGGCCGTTTAGGGCTTTTAAGGTCAGCACCAACACTTTGAATTGTGCCAGGAAACGTACTGAGAGCCAATGTAGGTCTTTCAGGACCGGTGTTATGTGGTCTCGGTGGCCACTCCCAGTCACCAGTCTAGCTGCAGCATTCTGAATTAGTTGTAGTTTCTGGGTCACCTTCAAAGGTAGCCCCATGTAGAGCACATTGCAGTAGTCCAAGTGGGAGATAACCAGAGCATGCACCACTCTGATGAGACAGTCCGTGGGCTGGTAGGGTCTCAGCCTGTGTACCAGATGGAGTTGGTAGACAGCTGCCCTGGACACAGCTGCCCTGAATTCAGAACCATTTGTGCTAATAAACATGTGCTATGCTCATGGTTCCCCTCTCTGATCTGGCCGCCAGAACTGCACATGCCAAGCCCTGTGCCCCCCAAAACAAGTATCCCATTGATCAACTGTTTCAGAGGCAGAATAGATAAACTCAGCACCCTCCCCTTCCAGCTGACCTTCCCAGCCAAACCACTGATAGTTGTGATTCCATCTTCTTTCAAAGGACTCTGCATTCACTTTCTCCTTGTATTGTCTCTGATCAGAGACTGCGACACTTGCATAGATGTTTCTGTGTTATTTTTGAAAGGAATCTAACAAAATCTTCAGGCCCATCGTCCGGGGAGAGCAGTAGGGGGAAAGGGTTCTGGCCTAAGGCAACTCCCACAGCACAGTTTTGCAAACAAGCAGATTTTCATCTGATTACTTATTTCGAAATATCCTCTTGGGCTAGCTCAGGAAGGGGAAGCAGCTACACAAGGTATCGCAGCTTGAGTCACTAATTACAAGGATCCCTGCTGAGATTGGGGATGGGTGTCCCATTTCCCCAATCTTAAATGCAATTCTCCACATATCCACATCAATTTGTGTATTTGTGTGTTTTTTAAGCCATCAGGACAAGAATTCATCATCGTGTTCATTGCTCCCAATAGGCACATGGAGGGCACCATGTTGGCTTCCTCTTCCCAGAAGCCTTAAAGTGGTCCATCTCCACTTCCTGCAGCAGAAGAGCAGGACTTTTTCCTCCATGGAATGACTAGGCTCAATGAGATAAGTATCTCCTCTCCCAATACAGTCATACCTCGGGTTGAAGTTGCTTCAGGTTAAGCCTTTTCCAGTTGCGCTCCGCGGCGACAACAGCTGTCAACTTTTCCCTTTTCTTGCAAGGAATCCTATTCAGAAAAAGGGAATTTCCTTAAAAAAGGGGAACAGTTGACAGCTATGGCGGCGACCTGGAAGTAACGGAGCGCGTTACTTCTGGGTTTTGCCACTCGCGCATGTGCAGACACTCAAAATGACATCACGCACATGCGCAGACACGCAGACGCAGGTTGCGTTCACTTCAGGATGCGAACAGGGCTCCGGAACGGATCCCTTTCGCATCCTGAGGTACCACTGTATCTATTTTTGCCCTTCTGGTCTGGTGCCTAGGATGCAAAGGAGCCAACTCCTAGGGGCTGTTGGGACCTCAGCCTCCACAATTAAATATTTGAGGGGACTGGGCTCCCGCAAAGTTGATGGGCATTGTCATTCAAATGTTGTGCGTGCACTGTGTCATGTGATCGATTATGCAAGGCGGGGCTTATCTGGGCCCCCACAATATTTCCTTCAAGTTGACACGATGTGACCAGCTTCCAGGAGTGGCTCCAAATTTGAAGGGACTCTTGGCTAAGTATCTTCCAGCAAGCCCTCCTACATTGGGGGGGGGGGGCTCCTCTAGCCTACCTGGTGGCAGCAGCAGCAGCAGCAGACAGCTAGGCCCAGAAGCCACCCTCTTTTTTCCCCACAGCCCCCTTCCCCTGCAACATTGCCTCATTCCAGGGCATTGTGGGAAATTAACATGGTGCCTCCCGGCCCTGGGCATTTATTTTCAAAGGGGACCATGCGGCAGGCATCAGTGGTCGGTCCCGCCATGGCCCTGAAAGTGCTGGTTGGTCCTCCTTGCTCCAGTGAATGTAGTGGTCTGGACGTAAGAGCCTGGGGAATCCCTGTAACCTTAGTCACTACAAAGGCATTTGTATCCAATAACGATTTTGCACACAGAGCGACAACAATCAAAAGCAACTCCGGGCGTGATTGACACCCCGCACAGTTGCTCAAGTTTCATCCATCATGTAAATGTCCTTAGGGTATGTCTTCACTAGACTTTTTACCTCCACTTAATTGACTGCCAAATAACTCAGACGCTCCTCAAATATTTGAGCCGGGATACAAAACATTTTACGATTTACCCTGGGGATCAGCCTGGAGCAAACATTTGAGTAATAACCCAGGCTAGCCATGACAAAGGGCAAAACTACTTAGCAACCAGTTAACCTAAGGCCAAACGGAGTTGCAGACAAACTCAGATTTATGCAATTTCACTGACTCAGAAACCTGGGAGCACGTGTCAGAAATATGAATTGAAGCCAAATCACTCTGTTTTGATTTATTCTTTTTTGCACCTTTGCCTGGCTCCCTTGTGTAATAAGGTGCCTGTGATACCTTCATACAAAAGCTGTGTTTGCACTCATAAATTACATCAGTTTAAACAGGGGGAAAACCTCCAGAAATATTTATCACTGTAAAGTGTGCCTAAGACAGGAGCATCCACAGTTACTAAGTGATGAGCCCCAGACAGCAGTCTGTAGAAAACAGACAGGATTTGACTGCCTAAGCTGCAGTCTTGTCCACACTTACCTGGAAGTAACTCTTGCTCAAGTCTGAATGAAATCTGATTGGGAGGATAGCTCAGTGAGTAGATCATGAGATTCTCAATCTCAGGGTCCTGGGTTCAAGCCCCAAGTTGGGCAAAAGATTCCTGCATTGCAGGGAGTTGTACTAGATGATGCTCACAGTCCCTTGTGATTCTTCTAAGGAAGATTAAGGCCTCATAGTTAATTTTCGTTTTACTCATTTTTAAAAGACTTCTGTATCCCTCTTTAGAACAATTGCCAGTGAGAGCTGATGTGCAGCCTGTTAAAAAATAATCAAAACAGTTAATACAGCAATGGAACCTATTAAATTTAAACAATAAAGTTGACCAAAAGTAGGCCAGGAAAATAGCCTCCTCTTATCCAGCATCCCAATTTAAACTCCAAAGGCCATTCTAGACCTTGTCTAAAGGAGACACCTACTTAACTTCCCTTAGGATCACATGTCACTGGTAAGGAGCCACCCCAGAGAAGGCCCTGCCAGCCTAGCAGATTTTACAGGTGGGCGTCTCAGTAGGGCCTCTGAAATAGATGTTAAGTCACAGGTAGGCTGATACAGGTGCATTCAGTCCCTATGGTAAAATCCCTACAATGAAAGACAGAATAAGAAAGTGAATAAAGTATGACTGCATAGTATAGTCTGAACTATGGGCATATTTGGGATGAGTCCATTTACACTGGGCAATCATTGCTAGGACAATGTTGCTGTAATCTTGTTTTATTTCCTGTAAAAAGAAAAGATATCCATTTGAAAACACCACTCTTTGTTTATGTCTTTATAACCCGTACAATTAAACGAGATATTTTTCACTGTAAGTGCTCTTGCAAGAGTCACAATAAAAATTAGTATGTGGTAAATACAGATACAAATTGTCCAGACTTTTCCCTTTTCTCCCTTGTGATCATGTGGGATGCAATCCTGTTTAAAACAAAAACTAACACCTAAATGAGATCAGTTATCTTCAAGCAATAAGATTGCTCCCGATCTTTGATAAATCTGAATTCAACATTCTTATTTTGATTTTCCCCCCTAGTTTTTAAATTGATTTAATTTTTTGTACTTTATCTTGTCATGTCACTTTGAGATTTTTTTCTTTTGTATATAGTGACTGATAAAGGAATAATAATAATAATAATAATAGAGAAGTTTGAGTGTTTTGTGTATATATTTATATTCTTGCTGATGGTGGTGATCATTATCATAATTATAATTATAATATTTTTGTAGAAGTCACTTGCTGTCTTTTTCCCAGTCAAAGGCCAGCCTGAACTAACACCAAGTTAATGGCAGTATCACAACTGTAACACCACTAACACCACATAAAGGAAGGGCAATTCCTACTTGTTTGAAATGAACCAGAAGACGTTTCCTCCATGGAGTAGCTTTGATTAAAGCTTATTTGGATTTTTTTTCTCCTCTATTTATTTTTTTATTGCCTCAGTTGTCAAGTTCCTGGGAAATGTCTGCTTTTTATTGGCTTGTACATTTTATGGCATGTGAAAGAATCATCTTCGATCTTTCACAGTTTCCAGTTTTATTATTATGGCAAATCCTCTTTATTGCCTCTTAGCATATTTCTACAAGTGGGAGGTGGGTGGGCCATCTAACTCACTCAAGCCTTCCATCTCTATCTTGCCCTCTCTTTAATACAACCTTCAGATATAATTGGTCTTTTAAGTCCAGTTTATTATTAGCGAAGTGTTATGGTTTAAAGGGGGGGGGAGAGAATCTCAGCAGGCCACAAAACAGTTAGAAACAACAATTTCAGAATCAATATCAGGATGTGAATGAACAGGCGATCTTGAAGAAAACACTGCTTTATTTTAAAGAAAGGAAATTGTCTATTAATAGCAGGGGCTGCCTGTGTCTAATTAAACAGGATGTACATCTGACCCTTTATTTCCACGCTTTTACAAAATTGACAATTTGTTATCATGCCTATGTATATTCTTTGCAAAATAATATGCTTACAATACCACTTGCAAATAGATTAAGGCAGCAACCTTGTACGTATTTACCTGGGATAATTCCCATCAACCAAAGCTTACTTCTGAATAAACATGCAGAAGCTTGGTCTGTAAGACTTGCAAATCCTATGCATTCTTTCCTGGAAGTTACAGATGGAAAGCCCTGTAGCTCAATGCTAGAGCATATCCTTTGCCAGCAAAAGGTCCACTTCTTGGCCTCTCCTTGTAAGACTGGAAAATACACCTGCATGAAAAAATTGCCACCACTCAGTGCCAACAGTAGAGACTTTAGATGAACCAATGCACCAATGATCTGATTTAGTACAAGGAAGCTTCCTATGCAATGGTGGCTGGTGCCTATTGGAACCGGTGTGGCAGAAAGCGGCAAGCCCAAGACTAGGTGGAGCCAGGGCCAATAATAGGCAGAGCTAACTCATTCCAGTGAGGAGGAAGCTGACAGCCAGGATCACCACCTGAACTGGTTGTAAGGAAGAAGGTAGGCAGACGGAGACTGCCTGAGAACAGATGGTGGTTAGTAGGACAGTGTCCCATTTGCCCTGGGAACCAGTCTCCATTGTTCCTACGCTTCCTTAACTCTCATTTTATTTTTTGTTTTAAAATATTTTTTATTGATTTTTCAGTAAAAAACATCCAATTAAATATTCAATCATAATGCTTCAATTAAAAATAAAAAAAACTAAAATAAAAAGATCAAATTATAGTCCAAATTGTATTTATTAATTTCTTGGGGCTCCCCACTGTCTGGATCTCTGGAGCATATCTCTAACCATCATTTTGTTATCTGCTTATTATCATTTTTTTTCTACAGCAGAATAGTGCTTATTCTCAAGTCAACGTGGGGGCAACAGATGCAAAGCCCATGTTCTGATTGCAGTCATGATGGTGCTGTGATTTAAAACATGAAGCTGCACATGCTCAGAATATTTTGTGTTGTTATCAGGATTGGAAACCTCCTCCCCCCCCCCTTTATTTATTTTTTTGCTGCTGTAATATATCTGGAATATAGAAGCAGTTGAGAAGCATGGAGGGGAAACAGGGAGCAGAGAAATGTAAAGTGTGTGTGTGTGTGTGTGTGTGTGTGTGTGTGTGTGACTAGTAAAGGAATGCACAAGGTCATAAGACTATTGAGTTGAGAATCAAAAATTACTTAGTTGCACATCTGGTGGTAGCAGCTGCAGTGAGGAGGCCTCCAGCAGCTAACTTCACTGTCCACCAGTGGAGAGGAACAACTACAGCATCTCTGTCATGTTCTGGTCTGATGCTGGAACCCACAGGGAAGGTAGCAAGGCTGGCAAAGGTTGCTGGACCATGGACAGCTCCAAGTGAGCAACCTGCTCCAGCTAAGGTTGGAAGTCAACTGAGGCCCTTCATGCCTTTGTCTCCATACTACCTCCTCTAAGCTCCACCCCCTTGAGAGAACTTCAGGTCCTTAAAGGGACAGCCCTCTGGCCTGAAGACAGTCACTCTCACATCTTCCCATAGCCTTTCTCCTGATATTTTCTCAGTGCTGCTGGACTGGTGATGTGCAATGGGAGCCATCTGGTTCTTCAGGGGAAGGTGCCCTTGAGGGTCCAGGCTCTGGACCTTTAGACCCAAGAAGTCCAGTAAGTTATTGCTGGATACAGGGGTGCTTACAGTGGAACAGCTCCACCACTTTTCTTCCCAAGGGCATTGGATTGTTCCCTAAATGCCACTGAACTATGCAGGACTTCATTTTGAGTAAGGATACGCGATAGGGCTGTGTGAAGCCCCTGTGCTTCAGGATTCAGTGTTCAGTCCTGCTCGGTTTGACTGTGTAAGATGATGGCTGTGAAGTCTCTGGCTGCATGACGTCTCCTGTCCAAGCTTCAGGTTTCTCTAAAGCAGCAGTTCTCAACCTGTGGGTCCCCAGATGTTGTTGGACTACAACTCCCATCATCCCTGAGCTCTGGCCTTGCTAGCTAGGGCTTATGAGAGTTGTAGTTCAACAACATCTGGGGACCCACAGGTTGAGAAAGGCTGCTCTAATGGCTTTAGGATCATACTAGTTTCACATTTCAGCCTAAATGCTCAGTGTGTCCTTAACGGCACAGCATCAACTTCAGCAAGGTAATGAATGTCACAATTCAAGAAAAAGCACCCACCCACAATTGTTATCATTTGCGTCAGTATAGATCTTCCCCCAAAGAGGCATTTCCTTTCTCTCTCTCTTTTTCTAATAAAGTGCTTAAAAGGATGATTAATGCAGTTGTGAAATGAACTAGATTAATTAAGTCACTTATGTCAAGATAATACCGCATTTTTTCCGTGCATTTGACAGCATAATTTAGACTCTCTTGATTCCTAGATGAAAAATAAAGACTGTGAGGTATACTTCTGACAGTGAATTATTATATATTTTAAGAAAATTAACATTGACTAGGACTGAAGTGGATGGATATTTTGCAGTGAAGATTGCACTGACTCCAACTGGCTGGTGATGGTGGCTTGTGCAGAGATAATGAATACTTCGGATTTCTACATTGAAGCCTCAGAGCTCAAAATGTCAATACACAGGGCCTCTGCAGAAATGCTATTAAACCTTGATTTGTGTACATTAACTGCTGTTAAGCATTACCTCTGAACACCCAAGCACACCTGAGAATTGGCCACAAGCCTGGATGTGAAACCATGATTTGAACTTTGTTTGCAAGCAATGGTTTGCATTAACCATGGTGTTGCATTTTCACCAAATAAAACCACAGTTAAAGCAGCTTCCCTGCTTCTCCAGCACATCTGTTTGAAAGGTAGCAAACAGGATTCAATGGTGTCGTCCTACAAGCACACAATGAAGGCAGCGCTGTGTAGAGACAGAGCTTAGTTTGGTATGCCAAACTGAATTCACTGTATGATAGGAGTAGCCATGGTTAAGTATTATATTTGTATTAAGCAAGACTGAAGACCATGGTTGAAGGGTAACTGTCTTTGCTCCTGGGCAGCTCTTATGTATTCCGTTTCCCGGCTTAACCTGAAAACAGCCACTTACCACAGAAAGCATCAAACTCTTTGAGAAGAAGGCTTGTGTTTGAATGGTCACTGTGTCCAGCTCTGCCCCACACAACTATCTCTCTCTACTCTGGACATGGTTCACA